AAAAGTTTAAATTCAAATCCAAAAGTTTAAATTCAAATCCAAAAGTTTAAATTCAAATCCAAAAGTTTAAATTCAAATCCAAAAGTTTAAATTCACAAATAAAGTCGGTTTGGATTCAAATCAACAAGTTTAAATTCACAGAAAATAATGTTCAAATTCACAGTTATAAAGTTTAAATCAAAGGCACATCAAGAGGATTAAATATTGCTACAAACAGGCAGCCATACTCTGCACAAGGTAATAGACCTGACCAAAAGGCTACATATACGTGCTAAATTAATCATGTTCTCCTATCACAACCAAGGGCGGATCCAGGGGGAGGGTCGGGGGGTCGCGACCCCCCTGTCATTCCTGAGGTCAAATGGGCTTCCTGTGGTAAAAATGCGACTGGGATTCCTTTGCCCACAAAATTTACCCCTGAGATCCCCCCTTCAAAAAACCCTGGATCCGCCCTTGACAACTGAATTATCACTGAGCATTAGAGCAGTTTTTGTATGACTTTGAAAAGATCACGGCACGAACACGGTCGTGACACGGCAAGGCATACGCCAGACCAAACACACTGCACGAGAACTCACTCTCCTTTTAATCAAATGCCCGAAATACGGTAGACGAATCATATTGCACAAGAGAGGGGAAAAGACGGCCATCAAAATTTTAGGAAACATCACGGTCACGGCAAGACACGCATAAGGCCTGAATTTAACAGCCATACTAAAACTGCTCTATGCACAAAGGCATACATTGAAGCCTTTTGTGTGTACAACAATATCTCGGGAGTGGCTATATATTACGAGTAGGGGAACTTCGTATGTCTCAATGTATACTTACTCTTTCCTTGAACACTAAGTTCCTGGAGTTAAAGAAGCAAAACAATCAATGTTGTAGGGCAAATCAAAATCAGTTATTAATCGTATACAACTATTGCAAAATGTTGCATGCTGCACGTTGCATGGCACAGAATGGGTCAGTGCAAAGTCTCTATTGCAAAACAACTGTCGGGTTCAAAACATAACGGAATATAGAAATGTTAAATTTATTGAGTTGCATTTTGCGATTGTAATTGGAATGTTCAACCCAGAAAACATTGTAATACAGGTCCCCAAAGCAAGCTTTCAAGTATCTTATATTCACTGCCTAGCGCAATTGAATAAGTCATAATGTAATTATATCATTTCCCAGAATAGATTTCGGTTTTAGCTTCTGTGTAGTTTTGGACCCAACACTGACCTCCGATCCTCGTATTTACTTACCAGCTCCAGAAGATAACGACTTCCTTTTATAGCATCGTGTTTTTTCACCACATTGAGAATTCGTTTCAACTTGTACAAATCTCTAAAAAGAATAAGAACCAAAAAAATTATCCAACATAGAGAATGCCGTTGTTGCTGCAAATTAGTGGCAGTGGCGGTGGCGGTGGCGGTGGCGGTGGCGGTGGCGGTGGCGGTGG